ATTGACCTGACCTGACCTGAGTGTCATTGCCGGTCTTCAGTGCGCTTGATTTAGTTATACATCCGAAGGCCCCGTCTGCTATTTATTAAGTGAAATTGGTCTGCGATGCTGACGTAGATCGGAGGGCCACAAATGGTACCCATGGCCACTGGGAGGTGGATGAATATGGACGCCGGCCACAGTAGTGTTGGCCCGCTGCGCTACCAGGCCGCACCGCCACCTGCGGGATCAATCCGCTATCACTGCTCAGCCTGCAATATCTATATGCTTATAAGTATATATATATATATATATATATATATATAACACGATATGTTTGACAGCTTTCCACGGCTGTATCGTAAGGCAGAATGCATCGCCGTTAAAACCTGTGATGCATATACAGAAACCTTGAAGGCTGCACTTCATAAGCGTCCTTTGCGCCTTGTAAGTTGTAAGTCATATATGCGAAAACATTTCAGCGTCTGTGATGCAACCGCTTAAATCTATGAAATCCGTCACAAATTATTATAAAAAGAAAAAGGAAATGTTTGTTCCAGAATGTGTATGCATATATATATATATATAATATATATATATATATATATATATATATATATATATATATATATATATATATATATATATTCAAGGCCCTACGGAAAAATGTTAATATAGGCATGCGCGTTGGTTGCGGAACAGCCCCGCCCAGGACGCATCTTCATCACCTTTTGTACATGCTATTTTGGTTATGACGCTGAGTCCTCCTTGAATCTGTGAATGTTTCCAACCTACTGTTAATCTGCTTTCTCTCAATGAGCCTCCACATATCACATTTTTGCTCCACACTCTCTGTAAGCCAACAAATCCAAAATCATGAACCGAGTCTCTCAACAAGTTAAAGCGGTTGGAAAGGGGATAGTCCATAGATATTTTGGAACAGGTTCTCAAAGGCACCTGGCTCCATTACCACGTACCTTGGCACCATCTACATGACGTTATTTGTTATTGCCTATCGCCATCACAGCCGATGAAATCTTACCGTATTACGTGTTGCTCATGGTGCGTCTTTGGTGTATATATATATGTATATATATACATATATATATATATATATATATATATATATATATATATATATATATAATACCCGGCTGGCTGGCCGGCTGACGGTGATAAAAGACGATAAAAAGGCTAACGAGCCCATCGCAGTCGAATTCTTAACACTTGTGCACTTTGAAAAGAAAGCGCGAATAACGAACACAAACAATTCGCCATTCTCGCAGTTCTCTTGGCGCTGAGCAGAACGAAGCGAAGTGACAGCTCACGCATCCGCGTACGCCCAGCAAGGTAGAAGTGGAACGACCTGGTTGGCATCCAGAGCGTTCTACCGATGCCATTTTCCGATAACAGTGCGAATTATGCGCCCAGACGTGCGGAAAGGCGAGAACGGGGCGGCTGTGACGCGGCGAACGCGGCGCTCCAAGCGCGGCTGTTACGTCGACCGGCGGCCGGCGTGTTGTTCCGCGTCGCCCCAGCCCGCTGACCAAGCCGAAAATGCCGATATCGTGCGCCGCGCGTCGTTTGGATGGCACGCAGTACACACAGTTTGTGAGTCAGGAACGTGCGGAGGTGAAGATAGGTTGTAGGTGTAGCATTGCGCTCCACGAAACTTCGGGGATGTTCCCTCTGGAGCTGTTATTTGTTGAAAAGGTGGCCAATGCCGGGAATGCCCATCAAACGCCACAAATCGGGCTCACCTTCGCTGCGTTTTTAAGCGTAGGTTTTAGGGACGAGTGCAAAGCTACGGGAATAATCTGGTGATGAAGAAAGTGGGTCGGCATCTCCGACTGGGTGTCGGCTGTGCGTGTGCCTGGACATGGATATCCATGCACATTTGCGTAGATCCTAAAGAAATGGAAGCCGGAATTCAGGCCTTGAGTCCTAGACCAAACATTATCCAGCATTGATGATATTGTTGTACTTTTTCAAAGTCTTGTCACGGAATTTTCCAGGATTCACTTTGATAGACAACTGTCCGGTTGGCTTTCACGTGAGGTGAAATTGGGTTTGGTTGAGATTGAAAAAGCTGGATTGGGCTTAGAAAGTTAGTTTATTTCCTGTAAAGTAAAATTGACAGCTAAAAAGGATTGTCCAAGAGAAAGCAGCTCAGAAATATACCTGTCTACCAATACTACGGCCGGTCATATGCTCATCGATAGGTTGAGGATTTCTTAAAATCAATGAGGCTCCAGCTTTCCCTAAGACCCTCGGGCCATTAGAATAACACAATTGGTTGAGAATGCATTGCGACTCAGGATCTTTGACGCATTTTGGCGACATATCTTTGAGATGCGATATCCTCTTCAGCTGGACCGGGGACCTTTTGGTATTTTGGGTCCATATGACATTTGCGGGGATCATCGACGACGTCACAATCGTTTCTCTTCGAAAATCCAGTGGGATCTCAGAGGGTTTTTCGGAATCCACGCACATGCATGCAAACTTATGTTCGACTCTAGCTGAATTGGGCATTGGCTCACGAACCAACCTATTTAGGGTGAGCCGTGAGCCGAGTCGGCTCGTTAAGAAAAATACCGCCTTAGGCGATAAGCTGAATCTGATTCTTTGTAAATTTCATGAGCAGAATCGTGAGCCGATCATTTCTAACAATGTCATGTCAGTAAGTCATGTGGCTCAAGTTGAAATGGTAACATGAAGAAACACAGCACGCTCCAGACATATTAATAAACCATTTCATAGTGTGATCAGCATGCAGCATTAGTTAAAAAGCTTCTTGCAAAATCAGTAAAAATTATTGTAATTGCGAGGCGGCAAGCACAATATTGTTGATCCTGGTATTAGTTTGCCAAATCTCAGCGAGTAACCAGATGATATTAAAAGGTACAGGCATCCTACATTTCTACATCCTGTGCTTAAGTTCATTAGGAGCTGTTTACTTCCTATAAAATCACACACTCACACACACACACAAACACAGGCACACACACACACACACACACACACACACACACACACACACACACACACACACACACACACACGCATATATATATATATATATATATATCACATTTTTATAGTTCATGTCTTAATCTTTTATTTTCATAACATAAGCATGCTATTGCTGAGGCTTATGACATAAACAGATATAGTGACAAGGTCGTCTCGTCTCATATATGGATTGTTTTGTAGATTGCAGACTGACTGGAGCAATGGAATCGTAATACGTAATACTCAGTACGTGCATAAAGTGATTTCAACTTATGTTTGTTTCTTATGCTAGCTAATCCGCATTGCAAGAACTGCAATCCGATGTTCATCTGTTCACGTGTTATCGCCGTCGGCGTGGCTGGCTACTGGCTGGTAGAAATGTGGGTACCTGCGTGTGAATGCATTTAGCTGGCACTTGGTAGGTGCAGACTGCCAGCTGCCATGTTTGGTGCAGTCTAGTCCACATTGTGTAACCAATAGACCTATGTAACCAATAGGTCTGGATCGCGGGTGCCAGGTAGAATGTGCTGGCCTGGACACTTGAGAGAGCTGGTCGGTAGCAAGTTACAGGAAAGTATTGATGATGCATGCATTTTCCATGTTCAAACTACAAGCTTGCTACCGGGCTAACTGTACCCATTTTCCACACCAGTATATATATATATATATATATATATATATATATATATATATAAACATACATAGCTGTGTTATTGTGGCTCGGGTATATGTGAGTGTGGGAGTGGGCTGTCCGCGCAAACCACTGCTGCAGCTTTGATGGCATGCCAGAGATTTGCTGAGAAGTTGACTATATGCGGATAAACATTTCAACGTTCAAATATCTGTTTGCGTCGACAATAGGCCCACGCCGTTGGATACGCTTTCCTGGAAATCAACGAGGATGCGCAAACAATGGCCCCCGAAATCGCTAAGAGAGAGAGAGAGGGAGAGAGACCCTGTCAGATGGTGGGTGGTCACGCCGCCTCCACTTGAGTTTTTCCATGCCACGGCGTAGTTGTTCTGCTCGCGCCGCCCCCTGTAACCAGCTCTAGTGCGCACACGCCTCGGGCGGCGACGCCTTCTGAAGCCGAGTTTCCTCACGGCGCCGCGCGGCGCGGCGGCCCAGGTGAGGCAACACGCCGCCGCCGGTCGTGCCGCCTTTGGCGCCGACAGCGGGGCCGTTACGTCACGCGCCTGCAGCCGGCGGCGGAGGCGGGCGGCGTGACGGCCTCCGCACCGCCCGCTGACCCGGCGGCCGCCGACGACAGGCCCGGGGGCGACGCCGCCCGGCGCCGGGCACCACCGCTCTCCGCCCCCGGATCGGTGACGGGTGGCGGTAATCGGAGCCGACGGCCGCCGCCCGCCGGCCAGGACCCGCGTCCGCGGATGCCGCCGGCTGACGCCGCTTTCTGCCGTGTCCGCAGGCGGGCCGACGGGCGGCGGCGCTTGCGACATTGTCCGGACGGCAGCGGCGAGGGCGTTCTCGGCGCTCCTCGCGCCAGTGCCGGCGTCCGGCGGCGGCGGCGCGTGACGCGGCTGCGACAGCGGCTCGCCATGTCCAGCGCGCCGCCGCCACTGTGGCGGCGGCCGGCCGAGCCGACAGCCGCGCGCTACGCCGGCCTCCCGGCCGACCTGCTCGGCACCATCCCACGCCGTATCCTCATCGCGCGCGACGACTGGACAGACCGGCGGCGCCGCACCGTCTGCGTCGGCGCCGAGGAGCCGCCGCTGGTCACGGAGTCGGCCGGCGTCGGCGCCGCGCCGCGCCCGACAGCCGCCGTGCGCGCTCGCATTCTGCACTGGAATCGGCTGGCCGAGGCGGGCCGACCACGGCCGCCGTCGCCGCCGCGCGCGCGCCGCCGCAAGCGGCACACGATCGCCGGCAGCGCGGCGGCCCCCATGGCCGCGCCGGCCGTGCTCGTCCAGACATGGGAGACCAGGCGGAACGGAGCGCCGGCCGGCCGGGTGCGCGCCGCAGTGGCGCCGCTGCCGGCCGAGCACCAGCAGCGGCCCGACGCCGACGCCGCGGAGGAGGCTGGCACGCACACGGTCGCCACGCAGACGCACCTGGTCAGCAAGGTAGTGCGTCGGGTGCCGGTGGCGGCCAATGAGGTGTACATGGTGCAGGTGTGCGAGCCGCCGCAGTCGCCGCAGGAGGCACCGGAGCCAGCCGACGCGCGCTGCTCGCCCCGGCCCGGGCGCGGCAACAGAGGTCAGTGCTGGCGCTGCTGTGGCTGCTTACTGATTATTGTGGCAGTAATATTCAGCAAGCAGTGACCTCTGTTGAAAGTGGTTGTGTTTCCTCGTGTTTGGTTGCTAAATACTTTCTGTTTGTTTTTGGGTCGATATTTCCTTTTTCGAGGAGGACACGATCCAGGCAAGTGTGTTTGCATGAAAACAAATGCAACACGTGCCCTCGGTATGAGTTGGCGATTGGCAACCCGTGCAGAGATTAGACTGCAAACCAATTCTTAATGGCGCATGCTGTGGACGCAAGAGTGACTGAGGTTTGCACTGAGTTTTGTGTGATGCAGTGCCTTACGCCTGCTGTAGTCCCATTAAGACCCCTCATCCACTTGTACACAAAACGTCTTCAGTTTGTGGGTGCACCTGCAGCCGACTAAACCAAACTAAGCTGAACAGATGAGAATACAATGGGAGCGGCTGTATTCGGTCACACTTCCTGCCCGGACGGCCCAGCCCCACTCACTTCCTGTGCCGGCCGCCATTGTGCACGCAGGACACGGGTGAAGGGGATCTCACACATACCACGAGCGCCAGTTAGTGTCCGACGCGCAACCCGCAGCCTTCACACATACCCTAGTGAAACGCATTCCCTTGCTAAGATGTGATTCAACCGTTTTCGGAGTCTGTCCAGGTAATATCCTAGGTCACATGCGTGGTCGAAGAAGACAGCATGTCATTTAAGGTGCGTCATAACACCGCTCCGGGAGTGATGGTCCCACGTACTCAACATCAGGCCCAGCCATTTAATATTGCAGGTAGGCAAACCCTACATTGAGAACATCGCGCAAACCCCACTGATGCGATTGCATGCAAATCATTGCGCGGTAAATCATATTGCGCGGCAGATCCAGCTGGGCATCAATGAATGGGACTGAACAGATCAGGCAGGTGAATAGCATCGTCATCGAGCCGGGGGTGCGTCATTGTTTGATGCCTCCTGTCCTCTGCACCGAGAGCGCAGGGACCCGACCCGCTTCCGGCCAAGTGAGGGGCCGGCAATTACCGACGGCGGCACCGTGACGCCGTCCCCGCACTGTGGAGCGGCAGAATTTCGCGCCCGACAGACCCGGCAGCCCGGCATCGTACCAGCCAGGGCACGGGGTCTCGGATCGGTGAAGCACTGTCCCCAGGCCTCAGGAGCGCTGCCGGGCCAGCCGGCCACGTCAGCGTCAGCAAAAACTTGCGCTTCCGTTGTCGTCTCAGTGAGCGGCTGTTGAGGAGGACCGAGACCCGCAATCGACTTGTCTTTGCACCGTCCAGACGCTTGATTACGCGACCCAAGCTGTGAACGTCCATCTCTGGACGTTCATCTCATCTCGTCCATCTCAGAACATCAAGCTCTGAACGTCAAAAACTCGCGTCCATCCCCAAGCGCGGCCGACCATCGCCTGACCCACGGCACCGGCGATGCGAGCCGTGCGCCTTGTTCGCGAATCGTTTGTTCATTTTGAATCGGTGTGTTCGCGAATCGTTCCTTCGGCCTGACTGCCCAGCCACAGGAAGCGTCCCGCTTGGTGACGCCGGCGTCACGCGATCTGCTCGTGACGTCACAGAGCCAGCGGCAGCTGCGGAGTCAGGGTTAGCGTAACTCGCTGTGTTAAAGGTCATTTAATGTTGTGCAGAATTTATACAGATTTTGAGCGGTTCTTTAGGCATACATTACTTGCTCGTAAAGTTAGCGCATAGTGCACGTTAGAGAGGCCTCACCTAGTTCATATATAGATGTATATATATATATATATATATATATATATATATATATATTAGGAGCTGACTTGTAGTTTCAACCTAGCAAAAGCAGCTCAGCGAACAATAGTCATCAGGGCGATAAGCCAGAACTGCATCGGATCTTTGACTTTGCAGGCTGGATGAGTCATGAGTCAACTGATTCAATGCAAGCAACGAGACTGAACTAAGCTTGTAAAAATTGGAACGACCCTGAGTCATGGGCTGAACCAGCTCCAAAAATCTGTGAGTTGGTCCTGAGCTAGCTAACAAATTTGAGACAAACATAAATCTGCTATTTACACCCTCCTGGATGACTAGTTAAGATAACTAGAGACCACAAAATACGCATGGTAACTGGGGCTCTATATGAGTTCTTATGGGTCAGACAAACCTGAAATCGGTGTAGGAAATTCACTCAGACTTCCTCGTGTAATCAGCTTTAACCTAGATCATCTCCCTTTGCAAATGTTCATTCGGGCTTACAGCAAGTCAGTGACATTATTTGACATAGGTAACCGTGTCAGTGACGATATGTAACCTAAACAACGTGTTCCTTGTTCAATTCTGAGTACAATGACTCATGTTGTTGCATATGTCGAACATATATGTATGCTATTTGTCTCCGTTAATGTAACAATGTCGGCCCGCCGCGCGCGTTTGGCGGCATCGCCGGCTGCCGCCCGCCATCCACGTCGGGCGCAGACTGCCGCGCAGTACTCCTCAAAACCTTCGCTGCTCCAAAACCAGGAAAGCTAGGAGCACGTTCTCGGTATCAAAACACGTGCCCCATAAACTACTAAAAATTTTGGTGCATGCTTAGCATGTGGGAGAGGTATTCTGAAAAAACCGTGGGGGGGGGATCGCATCGACCCCCAATTAGGGCGAGGGTTAGAAGGTCAAAACCTTTGAGATTGTTTTCATATTTGAAACAAATCGTGTCAAGAGTTACCCCATGCGACATTTTCTTCAAAGCCAAATGTTGATTGAGATCATTGTGATGTTGTTACCTCCTCAGACCCTGATGAATTCAAAATAAGACATCCGTCGATGCCCTTATTCTCAAGACTGGAAGTGGCCATAAAACACGACGCAATGAAGCAGGTTTCAATAGAAGTGTATTATTTTCGCATTGATCTTCTCCCTACACCTGACTCAACATCGATGGAATTGATTTTAATTTGTATTTCAAGTGTTCATCTGTCTAAGAATCCGTTGTAAAGTTGCATAACTTCATCTTAGCACTCCATCGTCGCATTAGCGTAACGGCTTGCCAAGAGTCGCCTCCGCTGACAGCCGTGGCCTGATTTTGATCTCCTGCAGGTCAGCGATCTTACGAGGTATATTCAACTCGTGGTACCAAAAGATTGGCTTATTCAGCTGCTTACAGATAACAAGGTTTGGTGTCTATGCCGCACCGTTCGGATTTTTTTCTGGGACAATCTTGGAGGGGTTCAAATTGACCCCATACCCGAGTGCGGTCACGTTTCACGCTGTTCACGCAAGGTCAAATGTATCTTCCAAATTCAACTTCAGCCGTATAGACAAGAATCTATCTAATCAGGCAAACACATTTTCTTCAAGACGTTATGAAAAGTTATTTGTTGTTGCATGGCCACTCCAGTGCAGCTTTTCAGCCATCAGCTAACGGAGTAACCTCTCATAAACCATCAATAACTAATAGCTGCAGCGCATGGGGACAAAAAGACGTTGTCCAGCATAGGAAACCAGCAAGTTTCCACATATTTCATTTGCAAAGAATTAAAACCGAAGTTATAGTTCCGAGGCCGAATATGGTAATGGCTAGTAACTAAAAGTTTCTTGACCATTGAAGAACGACTTCCAGACCAAAAACCCATTCACCCTGTTCGTGAACTAATTTGACCTACAAAACTTTGGTATGCGAAAAAGCTGCATGCCCTGCAGGGCAAACCTCATAGCTTTAGTTGAATTCTTGCATTTTACGAGTCATTCCCCAGTACGCTGCAATTAGTTGAAATGGATAACAGACACGAGCGAATATCTGGAAATGGATGCCGGGTGCGTATTTGGATTCCTGGGCCGAAATTTCCAGAAACGTATATCGATCTGGGAACATTGTTCTAAAAACATTGTCCAAGAGCTTTTGAAAGCATGAGGTCGTTTAAATGTTGTCCGAGGTTCCCCAAGGATGCAAGATTCAATTCTGCAATAAAATCCCCTGGATCTTATCGCAACTTTAAGAGGTGTTACAAGGAGGACCCACTTGACAAGATATTCCAGGATCTCATTTTAGAAACAAAATTTTCAGTGTGCTGAAAATTGTGTACCGTGCCACACTCCGGCCCTAGCATGACGCCTGCAAAGGCATATACAAAACGGTTACCTTCCATATTCAGTTTCAGCTACGTTCCTTTCACAAATGGATTTCTGCAAGCTGCTCCGAATAGTACACCGCGACTTGATCTTTGTCAGTCTTGCAATGTCTTCAGTGGAAAATCGTTTCTGACCAGCCAGGCATTCTAAAGGGTCCTCTAGCATCCAAACTATTTCCAGGGTGCAACATTAATTGTTACATGTATGCATTTTTAATTTTGTTGAAATTGTAGACAGGATTCCGAACTTAATTCAGGTTTTGATTAGGAACTTCTAGGATCCAATGTCCAATTGAAAATTATCGAAGAAACCTCTGGAAACAGGTTTCTTCAGGAAAACAGGGAACAGGAAGCCTCTCCACATCTGAGATTCGCGCGCAACGCTGCTAGGTGCATGGGCTTTCTCACTGGGCTCACGCTGTGGCTGTTTCAGCGTGCTCTTCATGGTCATTTGCGCGCAGGTCACCGAGCATGAAAAGGAAACGAGCTTTCGTAACGGTAGCATCTTGAGTACGCTGAAGAAATCACGCGTTTTCAGTTTCTTTTGCAACTAACTGTGCATTATTGTGCGCTCGCTTTTTCAGCTCGTTCAAACATGTATTGCCGTCTGACGACAACACATGTTTGAGTTGTCGTCAGAAAACAGCGTCGAATGCTGTATAGTTGTATGCCTTGCAGCGCAACCACGTGTTATTCACCGTGACGTTCAAATTTGTTGAAATTGATAACAGACATGAGCACATGTCTCGGAATGAAGCTACTGAAGCGCAAACAATGCTCACAAACTTACAAGCCGGATATAATAAGCTCGTAACACACGCAGGCGTTTGACGAGAGATGACTGATAGTCTCCGACTTCCCACCTCGCTGTCGCCGCAAGAACATAAGGGTCATTGTAAATTGCTCGACAGCAGACTGGTTCGGCCGACGCTTAAGCCGCGCCCTGCCGAGGGAAGTTGACTTCCCCCTAACGGTTTCTCGAGCACAGGTCAAAAACGAACACTCACAGCGACACGAAATTTTCAGTACCTCTTAATTTATTTATCTGGCATTTTTTGTGCAAAGTTCAAGTTTTGATTTTCCAAGATCATTGGCTGATATAAGATCAAAGAGGCCAGCTTCTAACAAACTCGGACAACACATAACTTTTTTGTGGTAATTTGCCTTTGCTCAAACTTGTTATAGTAATAGAGCATGATAATACCCCCAGTTTGTTGCGATGAGTGTATGTACGTATACAGTATATTTATTCTTTTGGAAGCTGGCAAAGTCAATTACCTGAAGTCAGGTCAGTTTTTATCACCATTTCATAAGAAATGCAAAGTTCTGTGTATTTTGTGTAGTTTTGGTTTTTGTGTATGAGGAAAAAACGCTAGCCCACGTGTGCAACCACTGCATGACTACAGAGCACAATACCTTGGCCCAGGTTATGGCCTTCCTCTATGGGTGCCTTCTGCAAGACAACGATGAGCTAAAACTAGCCAGTTTTATTAGGTAATTGCGTGGGCAGAATTCGCATACTACACTGAAACGATTATTTGATATCATTATCATATCATGTATTCTAAGGCACAATGAAGTCACAATAGGTCACGTGAGGACATGCAGGGTCACATGAGCTCATCCAAGGTCAATAACCTATGTTCTCAGCAGCGGGGAGACTAGATTAACGAGTGTGATGCGTGTAGCCACCTCCCTATCATGTTTGTGGAGCTGTTGGCGTACAATTTCATATACCGGTGTACCTGTCCTTAGTTTGTTACAAAAGCATTGCCAAATGTCATGGGGACCATGCATAATGTGTGCAATATCCATGCGATTTTTGGTGCCTGTAGATGCACAGCATTCTATTTCTGTCCACAAAAAAGTATTGAACTGGTCACATAGACCCGGCTGGCACTTCAAGCTTTTTCATTTGAATGGCTCACGATTTGACTTGGGTTGATCACAGCTGGCCTCTAGGTCAGCCTAAAGGGGTATTTTTGTGTCTAGAACACGTTTGTCTCACAGCTATACATAGAAAAATAAATTTAGTCAGAAGCACATAGTGAAACAAGTATCGTTCTTGTATGCTACTTGTAGGCCAAATTTGAGCGATGACCTGAACTGACGTGATCCTTTTCGGGAAACAGAAATGGTCGGTATGAACCCCCTACGGTCTTCATATGTACTTCCGTGTCCTCAATATCCGTCATGCCGTGTAACATTGGTTTTAACTGCATCTGTCAGAACGACCGTTTTTGACCTTCCGTGTCCTCTGCCGACCTCGAAATGGACCTTACATAAGAAACAATGGTATCTTTGCCTTTCTTATACGGCGTCTGGAAGTTGGAGACCCCAGGGCAACTCAGCTTCCCCGGCCGGGCGCGCTTATCCTAGCCCTCCGGCCGAGCACAGGTCAAGGTCATTGCCAACCGTACCAGCACACCAACGGCATTCGTACACCAAATTTCTCTTTGCTTGTTTTTAAAAAGAACATTTTACGAGCTACGATCGCTCTGACCGAACTTCCTTTTATTATTTGCCTGGACTGGGTACGCGGCGTGTAGTAGTAATAATTGTAAGCGGGTGCGGAGGGGTTTCCGGTTCGGTAGGTCACGGTAGGTCACGGTAGGAACATTATTATGAAACTATAAATTTTGTAGTTCGTGCTGGGAAGTGCAGTCGCAAGCAAAGGAATGGAGGAGACTGGGAACGATGGGAGACCAAGGCCCATCTTCTCGCGGAAGTCCAACTATAAACCAATTGTAATGGATGAAACTGATTTACTTCAAAAAGAAGCTTGGTGGGCACACTTTTGGGACGTTCCTCCTGAGCATGTGAACGCAGCTCCCAGTCGATGCAGCAACGTCACGACGCCAACAGTTCAGGAGCCCTGACGTGTCGGGAGGGGCCCCTGACGAGTCGGAACGGCCCCTCACCCTTGTTGAATGATCCCTCGACTGCAGTCGCTGGCCGACTGTCAGCAGGCGATGCCGCTCTGGCCACTGCGGCAACGTCACGGTAGGCTACTCTGCTTCAAGGCAAAAGTGCAGGTGCGACGGCGGAAAGCAAGGTCAAGAGAGCGGAAAACAACGTGGACACCCCATTTATGGCTTTAGCTGCTTCTGCACAGTGCCCCAAGCGGAATGCGTTCATATACGGTTGATGCTTGAAAGAGCAGGGAAACATAAAGTTTGCGGTTGAGTGTGTGTCGTAAACGCGGAGATTGATTTTCTCACTTTCCATAACAACCAGAAAACCGATTGACAGCAAATGTGAGCCCGCCAACGGAATACAAACTGAACGTCTCATTGCAAAATGCTACATCAATGCGGCCATATCCTTGATTACACAGTCGTTCAAGCTCTGTAACGTGTAAGGTCCACTCTATTCCGTGACACAAAAACGCCGCTCTGTTGACACGGCCCCGTAAACTCTGACCCCGCCCCGCCCGCAGAGACCCCGCCCAAGCCGCCGCGCATGCTCCACCTCGAGACCAGGCTGGACTTCACGCGCGACCCGTTGTCCTTCTCATCGCTGACGTCGGCGGCGTCATCCGACGGCAGCCATGAGGGCGCCCCCCGCCTCACCGAGGCCATCAACCACGACCTGGTGCGGGCGCACGACCTGCTCGGGCGCGAGCCGGCGCCGGCGCCCGGCCGGCCCGGCGCCGATACGCGGCAGGCCGAGACCGTGCTCCGTGAGCTGGACCGAGCGCTGGACGCCCACGCAGCGCCCGCCGACCCGCACGGCTTCAGCTCGGCTTTCGCCGCGCAGATGGCGCGCGAGCGGCACCTGCAGACCTGGTGCGAGGAGGAGCGTGGCTCGGAGCCCGGCCCGGAGCACGAGCCAGGGCGTGATGTCTGGAGTCTCGGGAGCGAGGGCGACGCGCGCTCCCGTAGTTCGCCGAGTCCGCGAGGTGAGGCGCTGAGCATCGAGGGCAAGGCGCCGAGTCTCGGGGGCGAGACGCCGAGTCTCGGGAGCGAGGCGGGGCGTACGCAGGACGCCCGGTCGGCCAGCCCGACGGACGAGCGACTGCACCCCTCCGAGCGCGAGGCAGCGCCCGATGGTGCCGCCTGGAACCGCCACAGCCATACCGAGAACTATAACCTGGTGGAGGAGGTGACCGAGGCCGAGCAGAGCGTGCTGTCGCCGCCGCATCTCTGTGACAGCCTCTGCTCGGACATGGGTGACGTGGGCGTGACCCGCTACGCCACGCCCAGCACGGCGCCGACCACGCCCACGGCCAGTCCGGCACCACGACTCGAGTCACCGCCGGACCGCGCTGCCGGGCCAGCCGACACCCGGCCGCACGCGCACACCGTGGTCGTGGCCATCGACTTCGGCACCACATACAGCGGCTACGCCTTCAGCTTCGTCACGAACCCGACCAGCATCCACATCATGAGGAGGGCCGACGGTAGGTACCGGGACGAACGTCGACTGCAGCCGACATGGTTTGGCCAAAGCGGTATTCATATGAGGGCTTATCATCGACGATGTAATGCAGTCCGGTTATGATTGTAATTTGATCCGAATGGAGAGGGAATGAGCCCAGGCATGGTTACCTTTTCCACCAAATTTTTCTACCACTTTTGCCTTTTTTTTTAGAAAAGGTTGCCTCGTTCTTTTTGTGACGTATCTGGGTGCAGGACTGCTGACGGGCAGGAGAGCGGCGCCGTTCTCACACAATGTAACGTGGTTCACGCGACAGCCCTGGAGCACGCCGGTCTCGACTGTCAGCGACGCTGACCTCTGTATGACCGCACCCCGGCCCTCAGGCGGGGACCCCGGACTCAACAACCAAAAGACGCCGACGGCGTTGCTGCTGACGCCGCAGGGCGACTTCAGTGCCTTCGGTTACGCCGCCCGGGACGCGTACCATGACCTGGAGCCCCGACAGGCCGCCGACTGGCTCTTCTTCGACAAGTTCAAGCTCTCTCTCCACACGGACGCGGTGAGCAGCTACATGTTGTGCCAACACGGACGCGGTGAATGGCTGCATGTTGTGCCAACACGGCCGCGATGAGCGGCTGCATGTTGTGCCCACGCGGACGCGGGAGCAGCTGCGTGTTGTGCCCACACGGACGCGGTGAGCAGCTGCGTGTTGTGCCCACACCGACGCGGGAGTAGCTGCGTGTTGTGCCCACGCGGACGCGGGAGCAGCTGCGTGTTGTGCCCACGCGGACGCGGGAGCAGCTGCGCGTTGTGCCCACGCGGACGCGGGAACAGCTGCGTGTTGTGCCCACGCGGACGCGGGAGCAGCTGAATGCTGCGCCTATACGTGTCGTGCCCAGTCTGCCTGCAAAAATGCGAGTGGGCAAGCTCGATTTTTGACACACTGAGTGTCGCACTGCTTCTTCCTTCCTGGTGAAGGAGCCGCAGCGTATCAGACTCTGGACATAAGGGCCTGAGTGGTGTTTACATGAATTTTCAGGTGACGTTGCGGGATGTCATGTCCATTATGCCCACTATTCCCTTGCTGATACAAAGCTGTGTGTGACGTCCCCACAGTTTCGTACTGTTTGCGCAGCGGATGCTTATTTGCTCGGTTACTGTTGAATCGGTCCTAGCGTAACGTGTTTCCCAGCGATGACCTTGCGGCTGTGTGCGACAGAGCCTGAGCCTGGACACCTACATTCCGGCCGCCAATGGCCAGTGCATTTCGGCGCTGGCAGTGTTCGCGCATGCGCTCTCCTTCTTCCGGCGCCAAGCGATGGCCGAATTGGATGACCTGGTGGGGGACCCGGTGCCGCCGGAGCAGGTCCGCTGGGTCATCACCGTCCCGGCCATTTGGCGGCAGCACGCCAAACAGTTTATGAGGCAGGCTGCCTATCAGGTGAGCACGCGAGCCACCTGCAGCGTTCGCCGAGTGAAAGTGTGGCCCTCGTACTCAATGCGATGCCTTGCCGGCCTCTGAGGTGGTTGCGTCAGTTAGCGCGGCAGAAGAAGTCGTGTTCTGGGTCGTATATTTGACGGCGTTTCACTGCTTACTGCACTGAAACATCCCGTTAAAGCCTTTTTGTATGAGCGGCTCTACGTTAGTGATGATGACCCTATGATAATGACCAAAGCGTTGGCGAACGAGAGTCGTCCGACTTCTGCCCGCCTTACACTGCGAGGGAGCACACAGGGTCCGCCCTGAACGCCGGCAGGCCGAGCTGTGCTCCGAGGAGAGCCGGGAGACGCTGATGATCGCCCTCGAGCCTGAGGTGGCCTCCGTCTACTGCCACAGCCTGCGCCTGCACGAGCTGGTGCAGGAGGGCGGCGACCGGCTCTCAGTGCAGGAGAACCCCCACGGCGCCGAGGCGCGCACGGGCGCCGCCGTCGACATGGTCCAGGGTAGGTCTGCTCCGGCCTCCCACGTAGCCACCACGTAACCGACACACGAACCGGAGCAGCCGTGTACCAGAGGTGACATTTTAGGTGTTTGGATCAGAGTCCTTTCGACCAAAAATGATCATTTCAGGGGCTATGTGATGAAGGTACAGGTAACAGTGGGACGGGACTGCATGTGCCTGAGGCTCCAACCGCCGAGCTTTAGCCCGCTCAGGGACCCCCCCCCCCAATCCCCACCCCCACCCCCACCCGCGGAGTGTGCGCTTGGCGCCCATGCCATAGAAGACGAAACCATTATCCGAACCTTATCGTGGGCGAGGGTTTCAGATAGCATTGTGATTTTGATGTGCGCGGTACTTGTGATTTGGACGTGATTAGATGTGCACATCAACTACCGGGCTCGGTGGGAAGTTGACTACCGCGTGATGTCCACCAGGTACCCGGTACTTGGTGGTGGACTGCGGCGGCGGCACAGTCGACATCACCGTGCACGAGGTCATTGACTCGGGGCGCCGCCAACTCAAGGAGGTGTACAAGGCCAGCGGTGGGCCCTACGGCAGTGTAGGTCAGTCGGCCTCAGCTGAGGCAGTCATGCGGCAGTGTAGAGCAGTCGGCCTCAGCTATGGTAGCCATACGGCAGTGTAGGTCAGTCGGCCTCAGCTATGGTAGTCATACGGCAGTGTAGGTCAGTCGGCCTCAGCTATGGTAGTCATACGGCTGTAGGGCAGCCGGCCTCAGCTGTGGTAGTCACACACTAATGTAGGTCAGTTGGCCTCAGCTATGGTAGTCATACGGCAGTGTAGGGCAGTGGCCTCAGCTATGCTGGTCATACGGCAGTGTAGGGCAGTCGGCTTCAACTATGCTGGTCATACTGCAGTGTAGGGCAGTCGGCCTTAGCTATGGTAGTCATACGGCAGTGTAGGGCAGTAGCCTCAGCTATGCTGGTCACACGGCAGTGTAGGTCAATCGACCTCGGCTATGGTAGTCATACGGCAGTGTAGGTCAGTCGGCCTCAGCTATGGCAGTCATGCAGCTGTGTAGGTCATTTGGCCTCAGCTGTGGCACACCTACTGCGGCGTAGCTCAGTATGCTTAGGCTGCATTAGACGTGCTCTAGTGCTGGTACAGGCGTGATCTCAGCGTGTGCGACTTTAAACATACTAACCACACGAGCTTGCTGTTGGGTTTCTGGAACAACCGACGCTCGCTTTCCTTGTTTTGTATGCGTGAAACATTCCGTGTGCTCAACTGACTTAGAGGTGGACAACCAGTTGGCTGGCGGCTTTAAACTCTCCTGTGGACGAACCGGTTGTCCGCGCTTAATGCCCCAGTGACCGGACTTAGCCCCGACTCAGCCAGCGGATCGGGTACAGACATACAGTGGGCCCGGGTTTTGGACTCAGTTTAGACAGCGACTCCTGCCGCGCCCGCAGGCGTGGATATGCAGTTTGAGCGGCTGCTCTGTGATATATTCGGTGCCGAGTTTGTGGCCGGGTTCCGGTGTCGGCGGCCGGCCGCCTGGGTCGACCTCATGGTGGCGTTCGAGGCGCGCAAGAGGTCGGCCTCGCCCGGCAAGAAGTCCCCGCTCAACGTGGCCCTGCCGTTCGCCTTCATCAGCGAATACAAGAAAGCCAGGGGCAAGAGGGTGAGAGGCACGTCACTAGGGCGCACGACTCACTAGCAAGCGGCTGTATGGGATGCTTGCAGCTGTATGCAGAATGCTTGTTATGCGAAAGGGGAAAATAAGGGATTCTAGGGCCAAACGCTATCATATGTTCCAGTAAGCTGTGCTTCAAGCCATGTCAACAACTTTGGAGTTCCAGATATTGCCCAGTTCATAGTAAATGCGCGTGCAATGCTTGACTTGTGGTAGAACAGTCGTGATCAGAATATTGATCAACGTCCCAATATTGGTATACCTTTCATCCTTACAGGATGCATAGATATGATCGATAAATGTCGGGATGTGATTTGTTTCACGATGCAGCAGTAACTGATGGTGTCTGAGGTGAGCTGCCGCTGCGGACGTTGACCCCGCGCGCTGCCCCTGCCGCCGGTGATGTGGCAGATGATGCCGTGTCTGTGGTCAGGTGGAACGGGCGGTGAGGGCCTACAAAGCTGGCGGTGGTGTGGCAGATGATGCCGTGTCTGTGGTCAGGTGGAGCAGGCGGTGAGGGCCTACAAAGCTGGCCAAGTGCGCTACACGGATGGCATGCTCCGCCTGGAGTCCAGCCTCATGCAGCAGCTCTTCGTCCCCACCCTGAACAAGATCACAGAGGTATTACGCCGCCATACCGCTCCCATTTCACTAAGCGACTTGGCTTGGCTGCCATGCTGCCAAACCAAGTTGACTTTTTCTATCGGGAACTTGTGAACTGAAATCACCGAAGCATACTGTAGCGCCTGCATTGAAGCGCGACGACCTAAAACCCATACCTGAAACCAGTGAAGCTAACTGGTAACCGAGAGATAAACCTGATGCCTTTCTATGAATTACCGTTAGAAATATTTTAGTGCTTATGTCTGTTGTAATTCTCAATTTTACCGTCGTTCTCGAATGACCTTCGACGAGGTAACATGTTTCCGCTGAGGCCGATTGTTTTGCCTATGCGCACCATGTTACAAATTCCACAGCTTTGCATTCTTTTCCGCAGCAAGTGGAAGCTCTTTTTGCGATGGTTTCAAACATGCACTACCTCTTCCTCGTTGGAGGCTTCGCGGAATCCAGATTTCTGCAGGAGCGGATGAAAAGCGAGTTCTCGGAAAGGATCAAGGTTGTGATACCACAGGTTCGTGAATTCATGAATTCTCTTTCGAGTTTGGCCCAAGATGCCGTCCCTGAATGAAACAAAGTAGCGTCATGAAATGAATCGCGCCGAATGTTCTCATTTTAACAATTTTGGATGACGTTTTTCATGTGTGTGTGTGTATGTGTGTGGTGTGTGTGTTTGTATGTGTGTGTAAGTGTGTGTGTGTGTGTGTGTGTGTGTTGTGTGTGTGTGTGGTGTGTTTGCGGTGTGTGTGTGTGTGTGTGTGTGTGGTGTGTGTGTGGTGTGTGTGTGTGTGTGTGTGTGTGTGTGTGTGTGTGTGTGTGTGGGTGTGTTGTGCGTGTGCGTGTGCGTGTGCGTGGTGCGTGTGCGTGTGTGCGGGAGAGGGAGGGCAGAGCTGCACCGAGTCAGAATTTTGGCTATAGAGTGCTATCACACACACTTTTGTTAAGGAGGAAATAATATGCTTTCACCTAAGTTTCAATAAATGCTTCAGTGAGGAAAACAGGTTTTCAGACAGGATTGGGTGAAAGGGGGGGGGGGGAGAGGGGTAGTCTCTTTCCTGGAAGATGTGATAAACTTGTGGTGTTTTAATGCAAATAAATAAAGCGAACATTGGGTTCCCCAAGCACCCTCGAAATCTCCGTCACATTTGAAGTCGTCAGTTGTTTTTTAGGGTTCATGCTTTGTTTGTTTGGATTGCCTCGCGTGTTTCGTAACAGGAGCCTCACTGAACTGAGCTTCTGTAGGCGAACTGAGCTTCTGTAGGTGACACGCGCGTCAGTAGCATTGAAAGAATCTGACCTTGTAAGATAGGGTAACGAGGTCCATACGACACAAAATACATTTTTTAGAAAAGGTTATGGTAATGAAATGGCGCCTGGCCGACCTGACACACCGCGCTCTCCTCCCGTGGGCACTAGTAAGATATTCGGCATCAGGAGACGAGTCCATCGCGTCGATTTCAGGAGATGAGTCTGGCGATCCTGCGTGGTGCAGTTCTGTTCGGCCTCGACAGCAGCGTCATCCAAGTGAGACGGTCCACCATGACATACGGCGTAGGCGTGCTCAACAAGTTCATGCGCGGCATCCACCCACAAGGTACGGGACGTCAAGTGGCAGCAGCAAATGCCTTGCGGTGTGAACTACCACCGGCCGGGCTATCCCGAGTTGTGTAGTTCCAACGAGACTGCGTACCCATTCAGGTGTAGCTCCTTGATTCATTCATGTCATTGCCACTACCAATCCCCAACGCCCATGTCGTTGTCTTCCGGTATATCTTCTTCAATACGCGCCGGGAGGGGGACAAGACAATTTCCGGTTACAGAAAATGTTGCAGAAAATTTCAGGACGGCGCGGTGTAGCCACTTTGCAAAGCTGCTGACAATCAAAAGCGGATATTTTGGCTCGTAAAGTTGGATGTACCTTGTAAGTTTGCTAACCCATGACGTGTAAAAGTCAGGCCAACGCCGTGGGCGGAGACAATTTCTAGGGAATCGTTCAATCTCATACGTCAAACAATGGCGCTAGAATTACAACAAATCCCATCGAGCTAGTCAGATATGAAGGTGGGACCAAGGTCTAAACCAACCAGCCGTTTTACTGGAGAGCTTAGTGTATGAGATAGTTTCTGGTGCTCATTCCGAATTCATCAGTAATAGGGACCACAACATACCAGACGTCTTCCGTGCACTTCTTAAAGGTCAGGGCATGTCACTGACCTAAAATGACACAAGTCGACATTTTGTTGCTAGGAACATGCCGCCAAGCGTAATCCTTGGCGCTTATTCAAATGAAAAAATTAAAACAATCTCGTAGGCTTTTGGTCACCATGACCTTCTAAAGGTAAAAAAAGGCTACGGACTTTAAATGAACATCAGTGACCTTTTATTCTGAAGAGGTATCTATGTTCAAGACGTTTGCATAAGGAAATCTGGCGGCACTTTGCTAGCAATTTGGCCACCAACCTGGAGTTTGACCTTGTGTGACCTTATTTGACCCAAATGTCATGACCTAAGAACCTCAAGCTTTGACACACGTAGGCTCACATACTAGCCAGCCAACCTTGTGAATGTGGTACGTCTAGGCCGCTTAGTTTGTTGTTTGTTTCGTTTGTTAAAATATCAGGGGTAAAACTGATCCCCCACCCGAGCGAAGGGTATTCCACCGGCCACCCAGACGCGTGCTAAGTCCTTACCAAACCGTCCGCTGTCAATGTGCGAGTTGCTCGGGTCCGCTATCGGCCTGTCCGCTGGCCACCGCCGGTCGGCGGGACAGGTGGCACACCATCTGCGGCCACCAGCGCCTCGGTACACAGCGCACGGCGTCCCGGCAGGCAAGCTGCTGGTGCGCGACGACCGTGAGTGGTGCGCCGACATCTTCGATAAGTTCGTGACGGCCGACCAGTCGGTGGGCGTGGGCGAGACCCTGCTGCGCCGCTACACGCCGGCGCGCGTCGACCAGACTACCATCGTGCTCCACCTCTACTGCTCGCATAAGGAGAAGGTCACGGTGGGTGCAATGGCGCGGGCGGTCACGTGACAGGGCATCGCGCGGGAACCTTCGGTCAAACACGCCCTAAGCGGTGAAGAAGACGCAAACAGCTGACGACATTGATGCAGGCCAGGTCAAACGCTTCTAGTCTTAATGCAGCTGGATGCTTGAGATGCAGGGATGTCTCCCCTCGGACAAGATGGACGCGGAGTGAGGCGGCGATGGGGCCACCGGTGGTATGACGCGCACCAACCTATTGGCTCCTGTCGGTTTGTCGTGGTCTTTGGACTGTGTCTTTTGTGAGCGACGAGGGTAATAACCAACACCAGCCGTAAGGCTGATGACGAGCGCCAGCGTGCTGCCGCTGATGGCCTCCGCCATTTTCAGTTCGTAACGGACGAGGGCGTGGAGCGGTGCGGCACACTGAAGCTGACCTTGGATGGAAGCCCACTGAGTCCCGTCAAGCGCCGTGAAGTCCAGGTGACAGCCATCCTTCCACGAGCAGGCCCGCAGTCCTGAACCCAGAGACGGCGCTGCGATGTGTAGCGCACGATTCGCAGAGTCGTGGCTGGAATTTGTGGGAAGTTGTGATGGTCGTGTGGTGCAAGAGCCGGCAACCGTGCTTGGGAGGCAGGTGCACCGGATTCAAAGAAGGCTTGTTTGGCGCAAGTGGGTGCAAAACGTCCTTTGAGTCCTTGCTTAACCATACATCACCACTGGACAAGTGATAAGTTTTTGCTTAAAGCAGGGGGAAAGTGTTATTTTTATCCAAGTTTCGAGATCCAATGGGTGATCGAGATTCTGGCTCCCCCATCCCCGGAGAGGACAAACCAGCCGACAGACATTTCTGCCTGCCTGCCTCGGTCGGTATGATACACCCACGATTGCACTGTTGTTTTTTGGAGCGACCTGAATGAGCTTGTACTATGAAATTAGCTCTCCAGACAGCAGCTCCAACCAATGCTTTCACTATGTACAGCTGCTTGCGACACAAACTTTATTCTGTGATCACTCCGTCACGTGCCTCAGTCGGCCAATGCGCTTAGACGAACGTTTTTGTCGGCCGCCGCAGGTCCGGATGCGTTTCGGCGACACGGAGATCGTGGCCTCGGCAGTGGACGTGCTCACCCAGCGGTCCGTGTCGGCACACATCGACTTCCTCGGTCTCTGAGACGCAGCGGTCCGTGTCGGTACACGTCGACTTCCTCGGTCTCTGAGACGCAGCGGTCCGTGTCGGCATACATCGGCTGCCTCGACCTCTGAGACGCAGCGGTCCGTATCGGCACACATCGGCTTCCCCGACCTCTGAGACGCAGCGGTCCGTCTCGGCACACATCGGCTTCCTCGGCTTCTGGGGCCGGCCCTGCACCAGCGGCGATGCTGCCTGCTGTTGCCCTGTGTGTGTCCGTGGCGCAGCAGCTCGTGCTGCCCTCTGTGTGTCCGTGGCGCGGCAGCCTGTGCTGCCCTCTGTTCGACGATGCGGCGCGCCGTGTTTATGAAGGCGGCGAAATGAGATGTCGAATGGTCTGGCCGTTATGTGATGCGTAAAGGTGTAAAATATGCGTCGAAAGCTGTGTTTATACCGTGTAACGTAGGAAGGCTATCGGTAGTTGTTTTGCGACTTGGCCAACCTTGACTTGTGCTCGTGGCATTGCCACATCTGAGAAGTGCAGCACCGTAGTTGAGCTTTATGGTTTTACATGACGTTGCAGATAATGTGAGAGATGGCTGAATTATAATTTGTACGTAAAATCATTTAAATCTTGAGCACTCCATGCCCTGTTAGATTATGCTCGTTACGCTCCAGTCGGCAGGGGAGGGTGGGACATGTCCCGACCTCCGAATATTCATGCATTTATAGATATATGCGTATGATTTATTCACTTCAGTGACCATCGCGTTCAGACGCTGGTAACAATTACATATAAATGCTTGCTTGCTTACTTATTCATTCTGCTTTAACGAGCGCATCACATCTCCGTTCCCCAAAAACTGCCGTGGTAAGCATTTCAGAATCATCAACAAAGTGGTGGGTTATTAATGTAATTCATTTTTCGGAGCGGGCATCAGACATATCGTGAAAGCTTTAATGGCACTTGGTATAACGTAACTGGTTAATCATTCTGTAATGCCGTGATCATTTAAAGTCAAACCTGTTATCGATTGTGCCGGCTGTTTTGTGCGATGGTTTATTGTGGTTTGCCGTACAGGGCCTCGTACAGAAGTTATACGGCTCGAGCCTCATATGATAAGGGCAAAACTAGTTATTCTAACGATTCCTTATGTGGCTGTCTCGATTTTGGCATTTCGGAAAGCAGCATAGTATGTGGTGAAAAATGGCCTATGTGTGAATGTCATTTAATGTCAAAGTCATGGCGATCAAATGTGTTTGGTTACCACACCAAACAAAGAAGTGGCCCCTGTTCTGCTGCCAACATCACATCTCTATGGAAAGTGACACAAGGTATGCTGTCGTGCGAAATTGCAGTGTTAGCTAAATGCTGCACGTCAGGTTTTTTTGTGGAGCGCAGCATGCTTTGGTGCTAGTGTGGAGTTCATATCACACGCAGGGCTAGATTCAGATTCTGATCTGTGGAGTCGTCAGCACGTATTTCCTATTATTCGTGCTCCCAAGATTTCAAGACGCCATGCCGCCGTCCAGTAGAAAAAAAGATTTCCATGTGCGTTGCGTTCTTGTTTCTGAATGTAAAGGCATCTCGATGCAGGAAAACGGTGACATGATATGATGCAGAGCGCATGTGTCAGCACACAAATGTATTAGTTGTTGAGAGAGCAATACAGTGATCAACGCAATCCCTCAGCGGCTGCTTGTGAAGCACATTCGCCAGCACGCGCACGAAGATTATTGCGCCTCCTTCACTGCCGCGATGCGTCGAACATCGGAATGATTCTTCCCGGGGAAAGACTTCTAAGTGCGAACGTGCTCCAGAGAGTTATTGCCTTCACTGAACATACATTTTACTGCTCTGTTACCACCGTTCCACCAGTCTACCCCGTGCTGATCAGGACCCGACTGTCCCTGAATAACCTCACACGGGCGGTAGATGCGTGGCCAAGCTCATGTTAGGGTTGTATCGGTTATCGGTGGCATGCCCATGCCGCATCGACGATGTATGGGCAATGTCGGTGTAGCCAACGGCTGGCAAGATCGTGCTACAATGGTGGTCCTGCCCATGGTCCTGGCTGCCATGCCGGTCCGTTATCCTTCACAAATCGTGTTCCCGGCAAGACGCCTATTTCCGCCATCCACCTGGCCCATCTGGCCAAAATTGCAATATTCATGCACGATAAGCTTGCAGATCACCTTTGATTTCTGTCATGCAAACATATGACCATTGACCTATGCTTACAACCTTTGGACATTTTCGCTATTTGGCAGTGGTGCATCAGGCATGAACACGCGCTCGGGTGGCCGGTCGGATACCCTTCGCTCGGGTTGAGGGTCAATTTGACCTCCCTGAGATCACAGGAGCTAAGAGAGCTAGACACATCCAAATCCACAAGGTGTTTGTGTGTACGTGAACTCACTTGGGTCAAAGTTTGGGCTTCCTATGTCATGACCTCTGGGTGAAATAAGGTCAAACAAAGTCAATCTCCAGGTTGGCGTCCGAAGTACCCCCAGATACAACGCACCCCTAGTAAGACACTTGTTCTAGGCAAAGGGTCAGATGCCCATTTAAGGCCAGTAACCTTTTCGACCTTTTGGAGGTCACAGTTACCAAGCTCATGTAAGACTGCCTTGAGTTTTGCATTTGAATAAGCGACGAAGTTTACGCTAGGCAGTGTGTTCCTAAAACAAGATGTTGACCTGGGTCATTTCAGGTCAGTTACCTATTCGGACCTTTGAGAAGTCTATGGAAGATGTATAATGCGGTTCCTGTCATTAATAAATTAGAGATGAGCACCAGAAACTACTCCTGCAAGTTTCCGGCGGGCCCTATAGTAATAAAGCAGGTCGATTTTCACCTTGGTCTGACCGTGATACCTGACCCAAGGCCAATGGAATTTGTTCCCTCAACTGTTGCGTCGCCTAGGAAAGTATCTCAGGAATATATAAGTTTATCTAACACTTCGTTGTTGCATCAGACTGAGTGACTCCTAGAAAATGACTTCGCTGAATCAATGGCCACACTTTGACGTGCCGTAGGTCAGCGACCATGCAAGGTACATGTAAATTTTCGACACCAAACAATCTGCATTATATTGTCTACATCTTGCAAAATTTGGCGTGGTCGCCACACCGTTCAGAAACCGCCCCAGAGAAACTTCGTGGGTGGGGGGTGGGGGATGAAATTGACCACCCACCCGAGCGCGTGTTAATGAGCTCAATAAACGCGGTATTTGAACGTACTATATTGATTATCGACCACCACGTGCTCATCATGGTTTGCTGGATGTCGAATGCGTTATTTCCGGCACCATGAGGCCGCCGTCGGATACTGTGTCGTCCGTGCGCTCTCTGCTATTTCAGGTGCTCCACATCCTCGAGCGATTTGAAATGTAGCAGCAGAAGATTGGGCGGAGAGCGTAGTAAGTCGCATGCCTATGGAGTTGCAGTGTGAGCTACCGGATGCGTTTGTAAGTAGGTACCTCATTGTGTAGCTTGTGATCACGTTCTATTTATCCATACCTATCATGCGTGAAACTACTGATAGTTGAGAGAATAAGACGTTTGGAAAATTGGTAGTAGACAGAGGGGGGAGAATGAACATGTCTCAAATATACTTTACAAAACAGCCACAGAAAGCAGCGCTTTACTGCACATTTTTAAGAACCTGGTCTAAAGGTGTCAAAATTTAAAACGTATCCGGATTCTGTATCGCTAGTCGTTTCTCCTAGGGACTACAGAGTATCCAGTTTTCTCACAAGGAAGCTCAAAGCCACTGCCAAGGAAGGTCTGCCCAAAATTGTATTGTTTCTCAGATTTCAGTAACCTCACTTTGCCCTCGTCGGCAGATGGGTGCATTTTGACCCTTAGGTCTTCTTTTTGCACAAAACATTTATGTAAGACGTCCCTCCCGGACTGCACGACAATGTCGGTAACACAAACTGCCGAATTTCACGCCCAAAACACAACAAATATTACCCCACAGACCCGTAGATCTTGGACCGCTAGATCGGGCCTCCAATCCCAGGTGTCTCAGGTGTCCCGATGGTCCCAGGGATCCCTTCACCCCCCGTGACCTAAAGGACCACGTGAGTCCTGTGTCCCCTCTCGCCTGTGCCATGGGATCAGAGCCCACGTTTGGCCGCGCTGGTAGGAACCCTGGTTCCTCCATCATCCGATTGTGAAATTTTGTGAAGGAAGTTTAACTTGTGGTGAACCGGCACAAGCCGTTCTAACCCACTTATCTCATCTAATCTATGCATTTACGCATTTTAAAGGGCATGTTTTTGCCCCTCACAATTACCGGGATGCCCATTTAACCAAGCTAAATGCATTGTAGCTACATGCGGTAATTCAGGCCAAGGAGACCCTCAGAATTAAACTAGAGAGTGGTAGGTCGGGCTGAGAAGCCCTTTTCAACATCAGAAGCCCGTTTTCTGATCTTGAGGCCATCTTTATGAATCAGCTTCATGTCTAGATTGGAAGACTCAAATGTTGTTCGGGAGGCCCCCGCTACAAGCCAGGAGGCCATGTTCTGTGTTAGAAGGCAACCTCTGCATTCAGAAGGCCCCGTCTTTGGAATGGGAAACCCCGTTCATACATCAGATGGTTGCAGTTTCGGATCAGAATGCTGGGATAAGGAGGCGCTTGGCTAGATCTCTGGGCCCCCTTCACGAACCGAACACGTTCCGTTCTGGAAAAGGAGGTCCTTGTATGCATCATGAGACCAATTTCTGGAACAAAAGGCCCTGTTTCAGGAAAACTACGTTCTTTGCTGGACAACCGGAAGCCCCCTCCGCCCCCTCTCCAGATCGACATTGCTCGGATATGATGCATGTAATATTTTGATTAGGGGCGCGTGCCCTCGTTGCCCATTTCCTTGAATACAACACTGCTCAGCAGACTCCCTGTCAGGAGTAGGGAGGCTAGGGAGTGGAGTAGGCTCCCTGTGAGGAGTATCCATGATTTCGTCAAGGAGGAGGGAGCTGGGGGGGGGGGGGGGGGGGCACGCAGCATAGTGCCTTTTCCAGACTTTGGGGTCCCCCTCATCGCATTGCGACCAATAAGGATGCTTAGTACGCTATCCATATACAGGAACGTATCCTGCTATGCGCAGCCCTAGAAAACTAGGTGTGTTGCGTATGCACATACATAGATCTCCTTCACTTTCTCCAGATCATGGTGAATCCTGTCATTTTGAGGATTAGTTTTTTGGGAAAAAGACGGCAGGTAAGCTAAAGTTTGCTGCTGAATACAAACAAAATCAAGCTCGAGCTTAATTCCCAGCCTGGTCGATGTGGTCGGCTGATGACTAATGACTAATGCAAAGTTCCTGATAAAAAATAATTGGCGCATATCCAACTGCTGCTCTCAGGCTAAGGCACCAAGGCCAACATGGTGGGCCCCTGAACGATCGGAAGCGCCCCGGCAGACTGACATGTGGAACCCAGGGGACCCCGGCCAGAGCACAGGGCTCTCTGAGCAGTGGTGCGATCAGGAGTGCGCTCAGGCAGGTGGGAGA